ACTTTTATCTTATCTTGCACTTTATATGTCGTAGCTGCTACATTGTACTGCCATGTGGTAAATGCTTGTATGCTGCTCATGCTCTTCCTGCATATCATGTATTTATTTTTGCTATGTATATAAATGTCATGTTCTTATATGTTGTATGTGACGGGACTACGGATGGAAATTAGCTCAAAGCTAAAATCCGGCTCATTTACACTTGTAAGCATTATTTTGTTTTAAAGTGTTCATCAATGTGCACTGTCCCGGTTCAAATAAACGATTAAATGAAAAATTGAAATATAAAATGTCAAACTATACTCAAATAGCAAATATTCAGTATATCTTCTTGAGTAATTTTATATATTAAGAATTATATTTTGGCAAACAACAGTCATTGTGGATAAGCTTTGGCCTGCTGTAGTGAACTTCATAGACTTTCAAGAAAACAGGGACATTTGGTGAATCAGCTTCTTCATGGTTTGGAAAAAAGTAACTCACCTAAATATCAAAACAAGACTTTGTGTTTTCATACTGCTAATGAGACAGATATATTTCATTTCCAGACAAAACATTGTGGTAAGGCACTCTCCTGTGTCCTTATCAGTGCCAATGTCCTACATTTCATAAAGACGTGAATGAAGGCTGATGCAATGACAGAACACTTTATCAGTGCTTCAAATATGCAGAATAAAAGCTGAAAGCATTACTTCATTACTTTAATCTGTGTCATTTAATAAGCTTTAAATTACACATATTCAAATGTGGGTTTAATGAATTGGACTCAGAAAAGAAATCGCCCTTTCAATCTACTTTTGCTACAGTGGAAGTAAATGTATTCTGAAGCCAACTTTACCCAATTAAACAAGAAGTGTACATATTTACTTGTGATGATGTGCACATCCTTTTACACCTATATAATCAGGTCTTGGATGTGGTGAGAAATTGTTCCAAACCAAAAAAGGAGACCTGGGCGGACACAAGGATGGTGTCCGCTTAATAATCTTATATATAAAAGATGTATAACTAGAAAGGTTGCTTAAAATGACTGCTTGGATGTGTAGATATTAATATTTTTTAGAAACAGCTCCAACACGCTGTTGCATTTGCAGGTAAGCGAAACAGAATTTTTTTTTTGACCGAAAGCAGAATTGTGTATTTAATGCCATGCAGCGCTCTCAGCGACTGTTGGTCCATCTCTTCAGGCAGTGAATTACAGGACTGAATTATTTTCTACTGGAGGGAAGATGGCGGCGCACTCAGACGCTGCGGCTCACAGCTGTCTGTTTTGGTTGTGCACTGTTTGTTTTTTGTTAGTGTGCGTGAGCACCCTAGAACAGGCGAATTACATATACAGTCGCATGGACTTATTTGACATAGGGATGAGTTGTCGCTCTGACATCACAGCCGATTTCCACCAGACTAACAACATCCCGGAGGACATAGCGAGACCGCTCGGGTCTCCCTGGATTGTTTTCGGCCCTGTGAAGCAACGCAGGCGCCGGAGGGAGAGGAAGCAGAAGCGAGGTTGCCTTGCAGGCCTGCTTGCTAGGCTAAGGAAGCGGCCGCACCGACCACCACTACCAAGCCTCTTCCTCGCAAATGCCAGGTCCATCGTCCACAAAATTGACGAACTGGAGGTTCTACTAGCTGCTAACACGACCGTACGCGACTGCTGTGTGATGATCATCACAGAATCCTGGCTACACCCGCGGATTCCGGACGCAGCAGTGCAGCTACCAGGCCGCTCTACCCACCGCTACGACAGGAACAGCGCTTCCGGTAAGAGCCGAGGGGGTGGTCTGTGTGTTTACATCCACAACGACTGGTGCATGGACAGCAGCACACACACACA